GAAAAGTCTGCGGCCCAATATAAGGAAGTAAATATTTGCTTTGTGAACCACATTGTCTATAATAAAATTATATTTATTGACACAGGGATTTAAAAGAAAATTTCACATACAAAGTTTAAGAAATTCAGAGATTTAGGATGTTAAATTACTTATGCTAGACTTCTAATTACAAAATACTTATATGATTTTATGAAAAAGCTGCACATCTAGTTGATAGTAAAAATTAATTGTAATTTAATTTTCCCCACAGCTCACTGCTGATCTTATAGAGACCTTACACTCATTACAAATTCTACGTTCATTGATTCTGAATTACTAAGGTTATATCTGATAAAATTACAAAATTTTATATTTAGTAGGGAGTTTAATATTTAAGGGACTTCATAGATTTTTTTTCCAAGCTAAATAATTAAGCTTTTGAAATTAAATTTATCAAAAGTCATAGAATTTTAAAAGTCAAAACCAGGCATTTATGTGGAGCATTATGGAACAAAAAACTTAGTAATAGAGTAGATTTTCATCTTTTAAATATTTAAATTTTTCCTACCACTGAAAATTTGTGATAGGATATGACACTAACCTGACAGGATTTTATAATTATGCTTAATTGTTTTATTCTGATGGAAAATTTTAACAAAAGTGCCCCACTGGACTTCCATCTACTCCATTTTTCCTTTCAATCAATCACATTTATCTCAGAAAAACTTGAAAGCAATCCTTTAACACTGGCAGTTGACAGAAATGATCCACGAAAACATGAGAACTCTTCACGTAGAAGCTCCCAATAGTAAGATGTTGGTTAGCAAACTATGCCAGTCCTGATCCAGTAGCCCTGCCAACTCCAGCTTCTCTGGTTTAGCCACAGCCCACAGTAAGTTCTGTAGTCTTTGCCACATGCAGTCCTGTCACTAAGCATTTCCTTCCTTTGTTTGCTTTTCCTTTTTAAAGAATATTAATATTAGCACTCAAATTTTTAAAAATGTATCTGAATACCCATGATCAAAAGAACAAGCCATTCTCAATGGCAAAATAAATAGTTTATAAGCATGCCAAAAACTAGTCAGCTTTCTTAGAGGCCAAAGAAATAAAAGTTTGAACAATATTAGCTTCTCATATCCAGTTAGGAAATACTTTTAAAGCCAGATATTATGCAGGTGAAAACTGAATGTTCTATATATCAAGCCTGAAGGAAAAACTGCGTTACAGGCCTGCATACAAAAAGCTAAGGATGAAGATGTACATCAGTTTAAACAGGAAAATACTGGAACTAACATAAAAGCCTAAAAATAAAAAAAGGACAGGTAAGCAAATTAAAACATCCGTAAGATAAATTATTTTGCAGTCACTAAGTTGCATTAACAATATAGAAACAGTAACAAATTAATTTTGTTGTTGTTTGTTGTAGCTCTGGGGATCAAACCCAGGGCTTTGCATATGCTAAGCAAGCACTCTAACACTGAGCTACATTCCCAGTCTATAAATAACTTTTAATAAAACAAGTATGGCACTCTGCTATAAAATACCATTTTTAAACAATGGTACAATTATGCCACAGGTGAACTGGTGGTAAAGGGCTGTATTTCAATAGAAGTTCTTTATAAAGTCAGCTTGATTAAAATTTGTGTTCATCATATCTATGTCTAGTCACAAATCATTTTCATATATTTTCTGTGTTCTGGTAGATCTAAAATAAGCAAACATTGCTTTATAATGTGTAAATAAATCAATACTATAAATGTTACATTAAAAACATACAATGTGACAATTCTAAAAATTGCTTCCTCAAAGCTGTGGGGACAATAAGGGTGAGCTTTAGGATTTCAAATTGTGTACTCAAAAGAGCACAAGCACTCTTTTGAAACTGTGCCTCTGATTTAGGAAGACGGTTGTGAGCCATATCAATTTAAAGCTTATTCATTTAAGAAATGTTTATTTAATACCTGTCTTTTGCCAGACATTGTGCTAGGTGCTGGCACAATAGCAAGAATAGTCAATGAATTTCTTAGAAGTTAGGAGAGTGTCTTTGGGGGACAAGTAGCGATGAGAGAGCAGAGGAAGGTGGGCGTACCCATCAATCTCACACAGAAAGTCCCAGTGTCTACTCATAGCAAAGGATTGCTTTATTTTCTAAGCTTTGCTAAGCGTTCTGTAACAACTTATGTGTGAGGATCCCAGACACCCCCTGAGAATGTCATACACTAGTAAGCCTGTATAATGAGTTCGGACTTGCACTCTGTAGTGATCAGATGACATAAAATGCTCTTAACGTCACATAGAATTATTCTCATCCACTGGGCATCCAGCAGTGCTTGCGTGTGCTTTTCCGGGCAGTGCAATATCTTCATTGTTGAACAGACAGAGTTGGACTATCAGGATTCTCAGCAGAGAATCCTTCATTATCTGTACTCCCCTTCCACTTTTCCAGAAAAGTCCATTATTTCAGTGAATGGACATCTAATACAAAATTCATTATCCTTATAGCAACAGATTATCACATTAATTCTTTCTCATTCCTCAGTCTGTGAGTCAATCAGAATTGCTACCAATCAACATGTCGATCCTCAGCTTTTACTTGGCTGTTGTAAGAAAGCCAAATGGACAAGAAGATATGTTTTTCTTTCTCTTCAAAGCTTCTGGCTATAATGGCAGGAAAGGTTAATGAGGCTATTATTTATTTATATATTATGCAAAAGTATAAGAATTCCTTAGGAATAATAATGGACTCAGACCTTTAACACTATGCATTCAGTTAACTAGAAACCCATAAGATGATTCCTAAAACCAAATATATCTATTTGAGAAGGGAAAGCTCTTTCCCTTAGAACTGAAACCCAAGTAACTCACTGTTAATTTCCTTCCATGGGAACCAAACACCAAGAAGTTGAGGAACTAGAGCAAAAAGAGTGGACATGGGCAAAAATGGACACTTTACATTGTTATAAATCAGGTGTTTTTCTTAATCCTTCAGACTATAATTTCAGGAGCAAGGATGAGTGTCTATGGGTCTGAGATTAGGTGTCATTATCAGGGAGATTCACCATGTTTAATAAGTTATGCCACCAGATCTTTGTGTAATAATAAATACTTGTTTCCTCATCTCCAAAAATGTAAATAAACTAATCTTCCAACGTTGCCCTAAATATAGTCTTTAAGACTGTAAAAATAGTGAATAAATCTACACTCCCATGTGTGCACTAATTACTGTTTTAGTTCATGCTAACAGAAGAAGTAGCTTAATAATAGTAACTTAACTGGAGAAGGTCAATCTTGTCATTCATTTGAATTAATGAGTACAAATTATCTTTTGATTAGTTATTAGTGCTGCAATGTACATTTCATGAATAACTGCTACTATTACTACAAAAGACGTCGGAAACAAATACAATGTAGTTTAAGTGTTTCATAGTTTGCAAAATATTTCATACATATAATATCTAGCAGTTCTGAACGTAGGAAAAACATTATTTTCCATTACAGGAATAAAAATTATTTTTCACTTCGCCAATTAAATGATTTTCAGAAGGGTTCATCTCCCGGAAAACCAGTATGTAAGAACGCCGGAAATGCAGATGGAATCAAGTCTCAGAAGTGCTTATCCTAGGTGGGAACCAAACTAAGATTTCTCTTTATCATTATCCCAAAATGGACAGCATCTCGCTGTAAAACAATTTCCTACAAAAGAAGGTCAGAAACTACTATGAAGCATGCAAAGTTCTGCAGACGAGACTCTCAAAGAAGCATTTACTGAAGGGTAGGGAGGGAGAGGTGGGGAGATTAGGAAAACTAGCCTGGAGCCGGGTCAGGCTTCCCCCGAGCGACCAAGGATTCGCCCACGTGAGGGGGTGTCCGGGGCTCGGGCTAGAGGCGGAGGGCACAGGGCAGGTTCCCGCACGGCTGGTGGGCGGGCATCTTTTTGACCTGGCGACCACTGCCTGGTACCAGGAGCCCAGGGACTCCGAAGCTGGAGCGGGCTCCCTGGGACGCGCTGCCAGCAGCCTCGGACTGGCAGAAGCATCTCCCCACGCATGGCTCCCGAGGCCAGCTCTGTCCCTCCGCCATCCCCAAGCCCTCCGACATTTTCCACGGATACGGGGAGATAGCAAAAAGAGGAGAAAACGGTCGAGTGTCTGCACCCAGCCACTGCCGCAGCCCAAGAAGAGGGAGTGGAGGAGGGAGCCTGGCGAGGAGGGAGCCAGGAAACTGTGATCCATCCATAATAAAAAGAATCATCATCACCCGCAACCAGGGAGTCTCAGATACACCCACCCGGGCAGTGGCTATGGGTTGGTGGCCGTTCCTCGCCCTCGCTCCCTGGGTGGCTGTAAAACCAACACCATGCCATGCACAGCCCGAACTCCCTTTCTGTGGACGAAGGAACAAAAGGGACCCCCATCCCCTGCAAACACACCTCCCCCCCGATATTTTACCCCTGCTGCTCAAGGTATTCATTTTTGCAAACCTTTTGGTTACACCTTCCCCACCTGAATAGCGCATTTCCCTCAAAGGTACAGAACGGTAAGCGAGGTGATCCTCGGTCGATTAGACACTGAATTCGGTTCTCTTACAACCAACCACAAAAATCCTGACGGACCTCGAGTCCCCGCGGGCTCTCGCGCCACCCCGGCCCTCTTTTGCTGGTTCCCCAAAGGTGCCGCGCTCTCCGCGGACGCTCGGGGCCCGACGGAGCGAGGCTTCCCGGGGCGGGCAGGACACTCGCCCAGCCCAGCCCCTCCGCCGAGCCGCGAGGCGGCAAACCGACCGAGCCCAGGCAGCGACGCGGGATTCAACTTCCCAAAGCCGCCGCGCCGCGCCGCGCCGCGGGCACCGCGAGACCCCTCTCCGCCTGCCAGAGAGGGCACCGGCAGTCGCACTCTCCACCCCCTCCTTCCTCAACCTCCCCCCTCCACACCTAGGAAAAAAAAAAATCCATCCATCGGTGCAAAGCAGACATTTTGATGTCATTTACTTGGCAGCGCGCGGCTTTAGAGGCAATATCTTACCCAGATGCCTGGGGTTTTGGCGGCGCACCGATGGTCCAAAGGCGCGAGGCTGGGCTGCTCGGTCCTCTAGCGCAGCCGGCTTGCTGCCATCCGCCCAACTTCAGCACCCAGCGGGCGAGGAGAGACGGAGAGAGGCGAGGATGGAGTGCAGGGGGGAGGGAGAGGAGCAGGGGTGGGCGGGGAGGGAGCGGGAGCCGCTGGGTCGGCAGCGCGCATGCGTCCTGCGGGCGGGCGCAGCCCCTCGCCCCGCGCGGCCGGAGGTGCTGCTTCTTTTCCCCCGCGCGCGGCCGCGTGAGTCACGGCCACGCCCCTTCCCGGCGCCCCCGCCCGGCCCGGCCCGGCCCGGCCCGGCCCCGCGCGCTCGACCCGGGACTGAGCCCACTGTGCGCAGGGGCTCCGCGGGGCTCTCGCTTTGGCGGCCTGGGTCTGGAGCTTTTGGCTGGAGCTCTGGAGACCCCAGAGCCGCCTTTGAGGACACAAGCGTGTATGCAAGGCTCCTTCAACTTGGCCTTCACCCGCAGCCCACGTACTGTCCTCTGGTCTTCAGGAGCAAGCAAAAAGCCACAAGCAGGTCTTTAAGGTACAAAACAGCGCTGCAGCCGCGCGCTCTCAGCCGAAGCCGAAGAGAGCCCGTATAGGAGGGGTTCAAGAAAAGTGTAAAGTGAAGCAAGTTTTGCTTACGGGAAAGACTCCAACATGATGAAGAATCCTTTACTTGATTGACTTCCTTACCCAGAAATATGCCCCTTTGCCCTACAAATTCTTTCAGGTGCTCTCTGGCTGTGGGGTTGTGCACTATTTTGGATGTCTGGACCACAGGAGCTGGAGTCTTGAGTGAGACAAGTCTGTGGCAAGGCAGGAGCTGTGAATTATTAAGCGAGGTGTGGATGCTTAGGGCCTAGACCAGCCTTAGGGCACAGCTGGGTCGCTATCCGGTCTGGTAATTGTTCTGCTCCCCAGCAGAGCCCAGCTTGGTGGTGAAGGAGCTGTGGATACTTAATGCATCCTGAGCGCTAGATTGCATCTCTGATGATTAGTGTGAAGTGTTTGTGAGGGCGAAGTAGGGAAACGGATGTGTTTCTCCTTAGATTCCACATCTGTGGGAAGAGGAGTGAATTCCTGCAGGAATGATTAGGCTCTTTCCTTGTATCTAATTAAAACTGATTACTTGTAAATGTATATGATTTCCCATTGCTTGGGTGCTCATGTATGCAAACACTTGGCATTATTTCAGTCTACTGAACTACCCCGCCTCCCGCCTCCCCTTGTATGTCTCAGGGCCTCTCCTTTAGACATCTGTAGCTCTAAGTAGGATGGCTCTTAAAATGCACTCACTCCCTGGCGTTGTCTGCAAACTGTTCTTTACTGGTCTATAATGGGAAATAGGCACAGAAATTGAGAGTGAAATTTAGAAATTTTTATTGCAGTCCGACATTGCCATAGACTCCAAACACTGTAGTCACCTATACTTGGCATGTTTTCTTTTTAAGATAAGTCATTTTTGTTGGTGTTTACAAAAGTTTCTTTGATCTTTCAGGCTGCTATAATAAAATACCATACACTGGGTGACTTATAAACAGCAGAAAGTTCTCACAGAAATTGAGATTGAGAAGTCTAGGGTGAAGATGTAGGCAAATTAGGATGTGAGGAAGGCCAGGTTCCTAGCTCATGGACTGCTGTCTTTTGTTGTGTCCTCATCCCGTTCATGAAGCTTCCCCTTCTTGACCTACTCACCCTCAAAAAGGCACCATTACTTTAGGTATCAGAAGTTCAACATATGAATTTGGGGGAGAGATAAACATTTGGTCCCCTGTACTATTGGTCCATGATGGATAATGAACAAAAGATCTCCAAAATTGGTTTGAGCAACAGTGACTCTCCTGTGTTAACTCTGAAATTTGTGTGTTCATTCTTAGCCCCTCACAGAGCTCTTTTCTGTCTTGAACCACTTTTACTTGAAGAATTATAGTAGTTAGCAGTTATTGAACAATTACTTCCTGCTGGTACTGACCTAAATTCTTTTATTCTCTCTTCACAACAACCCTACAAGGTAGATACTATTATTATCATATTTAACAGGCATCTCAGAAGCAGAACTCCGGATATCCACCCCCTCCAAACCTGTTCCTCCTCAAATTGTTCTACCAAGTTATTCAATCCAAAAATGTAGAAGTCATCCTTGTTTTGTCTCTTTTCTTTCATCCTCACATCCAATTAATTAGCAAGCCATGTTTCCTCCACCTCCAAAACATGTCCCCAATTTGTACACTCTACTCCTTTAATGCTAAAACTTTGATCCAAGTCACTATTATCTCTCACCTCAACAACTCAAATGCCTTCTGTTTTTGTCTCCTTGTTTCTATTCCCCCACAACCCTGAAACACACACACCAACAACAGCTGAATGATCTTCTAAAAACATAACCAGATCTTGTTATGTGTTCGCTTAAAATTCTCCAATGAGTTTTCATTGCATTTTAAATACAACCCATAATCCTTGCATAGCTTAGAAGGTTTTATGAAATATTCTTCCAGCCTTGTTTGCTTATCCCTGCTCGCATAGACCATAACTATGTGTGTTCTAGCCACACAGGCCTGCTTCTTTTCACTGGAATGAATCAGTAAGTAATTCCTGCTGCTGTTTCTTCCTGGAATCCTCTGCATTTGGATCTTTACCGAGCAGGTTCTTTAATATCATGTAGGTATATGCTCATACATCACCGCCTCAGAAAGGCCTAATATGACCATCCATTTAATCTGCTCCAAATGACCCAGAAAGTTCTTTTTGTCTTGTTTTATTTTCCTTAAAACTCTTTTCACTACCTAAATAAGCTTGTTTACTTAGACTGGCTTAAGAGCCTTGCCTTCACTTTTCACTGCTTCATCTGTGGTGTCTAGAATAAGATTTATCACATAGTACATTCTCAGTAAATATTTATTGAATGAACAAATGAATGATTGAATGAACAAATCACAAAGTCAGAAAAAGTGTCTTTTATTTTTTGCTGATGGTTCCTCTTCTTAGATCCTAATTGGCTCCTGTCAGAATCTGTTGTTTCCCTAAAGCACATAGAAAGCCTATCTTGTTTCCTCTTCCCAGCCTATCAAAAATGGCTCCATGCAGGGTCATCCATGCAGTTTAAAGGAGATACAAGGGTAAGGTTCTAAAAACAAATTTAAAACAAACACACTGGATTTTAAAATCAGACTCTTACTTCTGTGAGCTTTCCTAAATTATAGTGATAACTATTTGAGCAACTTTTTGTGTATATGACTTGACTATTCTACCATTCATTTACTTGCTAAAGTCAAATGTAACCTCTTGGTGACTTTCTTGCTCAGTTGTTTGTGTGTGTGTGTGTGTGTGTGTGTGTGTGTGTGTGTGTGTATGATCCCTTATGCATTAGCCGGAATCTTGAGTGAGTGTTCTAGGAAACTAGACATGTTTGCCATCTGAGAGATGTCTAGATGGGTGGAACCAATCATAACTGTAATGACCTTCACTTGCATATCTTGTGGTATCTCTATATCTTGGTCTTATGAACTGTCTGCAACAAGCTTGACAGCATGACTAAATCAATAGTTCAATTCAATAGACTTTATTAATGTCTACTATATGCTTTTTTGCAAAAACATAATGTTATAAAAATTATTTTATATGACTCAGAAATGAATCTCAGTCATTTTAGTGATGGGGATGCCTTCTCTACTGTTTATACAGAACTCAGAGCCCACTAGACTCATCTTCATTAATGGCTGTGTGGTAACCATGAAAGGCAGAATTTGATCATCAGCATTTCCAAGCCATAATGAATGTGTTTTTCAAGAGAATCTAGATGCAGCAGCAGTTTTGGTATAATGCCTTCGTAGTAAGGCAGACAGATTTACAGAAAAGTTATTCCCAGATAGAAGATACTGGAAAAGAACAGAACATCACAATATTTACAGTACATTTACTTATAATTAGGGGTATTTGTCATCATTAGGAGAGCTGGAATCTACTTCAGTGAGTTTGGTACCCTTTAAAGATTTTCCTGGAAGAAACTATGTAGTACTACATTTCATTTTCTTTCCCACGTATTTATTTAAAAGCAGCTGTTTTACCCTTAAAAAGCAGAAGGAAAAGACATTGGTTGAATCCAGGAAACCATGAATGTTCCAGGTAAACTACAGAATAGATCACAGAGAAAATAGAATATGACAATATGACACATGACTGCTTATGAAGTTTTTCATTCTTTTTTTTTCTTAATATTTTGCCACCCTGGGGTCAGAGCCTTGAGCTTATCAGACAGGTACTTTACCACTTGGGCTATGCCCCCAGCCCAGCACAGTTATATACTTTTAGTAAATAGTGCTTATCACATTTTTTCAACTGCTTTTAATCAAACCTTTGAGACAAGCTCTTCTCAAGGAACCCGTTTTGATGGAAAATTCTTGTTTTTTATCAATATTTTAAGGACATGAGAGACATGAAAAAAGAAAAAGAAAAAAGTCTGCCTCTCAAATATGCAAAATGAAATATAGTTCCACATTTTATAAGCACTTTTTTTATAACTCATTAGTTTCTAATGTTCCCATGGTTATTTAACTTACCAGCATTGGAATTAAAATGTTATTCCTTCAGAATAGCACTAATGAATTTGTATCTCATGGTGATTGTTGAGTCTAGATATAAACACCTGCCTATGATTTTCTTCATTATAATCAATTTTATATATCATAAAATCCCACTGTAGCTTGCCAATGTAAAGTTGTTTTTCAGTCATCCTGAGTAGTTTAGAAAAGTTTCCAGTAGAGAGGCTCTTCATATTCATATTCTGTTTTGCCCAAAAGATCTATCAGATAATGTTAAACAACAATCCTTTGCTCTTCTTTAGAAAAATTAAAAATGTTAAATTCACCTAGAAAACATAATGGCATTCACTTATCACAGTCAGATTCATGATGGATGGAGCAAAATTCCAGAAGTTAATGGACAATGTTATATTGTCTTGAGCTTGGTGAAAGTTCTTAAAAGAGAGTTACATGGTTGTGAAACAGGCTTCTGACTTATCAGACCTCCTCCTACGGCTTGATGCAAGTAAAGATAGTAAGAGGCAGTGATTAGATTTTGCAAGTTTCTGGTATCCTTA